TATTACACTATTTGGTTCAGAATATATTTTCCCTGTGTTCCTCCTCTAAAAATTAAGTGTGTCTTAATGTCCAGTGCGTCTTATGGAGCAAAAAATATGCTACCTACTTTCTGACATCCTCTCCAACATAACTTAGAATATCAATATCTATTAATGTATATTTGATTTAATTTCACCAGAGTTAAATATCATCTCCAAACTAAATTATACATTTTTTCTTCATCCTTATAAATCCAGATTTCAATATTCTTTTATCCCATATATTATTTATTTAAATTTATTTATTTTAAATATTTCTATCCCACCTTTCTCCCCAAAAAGACCCAAGATTCCACATCTCAGTATTTATTTCCTCTCCCAAATCATGTTCCCATAATTTTTAAAGAAAGTCTTGTTGGTTATCTATTTTTATTAATATAGTATTCATTCAACTTATGATCCCTCTCACTGTCTTATTTTAATCTACCTTTTCCTTTTCTAACACCATTTCTTCAAATCCCTACATTTGTCATTTCTTTTTATCCAATCTTTAGTGCACTGCTCTAACTGAATATGATTAAACAAAAATATTATTTCTGTTCCTAAAGCTTCTATTATTTGTTCATTAATCACCAACTTTTTCTACCAATCTTTTATCTTAATAATTTAAAATTTTTAATTTTGACATATCCAAGCATTATTTCAATGGAACCATGTGTTACATAATACGAAGTTTTTTGTTTGTGCCTGTTTGAAAGCCAATTCAAAAACTTTTTTTTAAAAATCCTTAAATCTTTTCCAGATTAGTTTGGTCCTAGAATAACAGGTGGAAATGGCAAAGAGAAAATGTCTATTCAAAAATGATGCTTGTTGGGATTCTAGCACTGGGCATGGTCATGAAAACAATGGAATATTTTTCTATACTTGGTCTACATTAAGGTAAAGGTAAAGGTTCCCCTTGACAATTTTTGTCCAGTCGTGTTCGACTCTAGGGGGCAGTGCTCATCCCCGTTTCCAAGCCATTGAGCCAGCATTTTGTCCGAAGACAATCTTCCGTGGTCACATGGCCAGTGCGACTAGACACGGAACGCTGTTACCTTCCCACCGAGGTGGTCCCTATTTATCTACTTGCATTTGCATGCTTTCGAATCGCTCGGTTGGCGGGAGCTGGGAGAAAGTGACGGGAGCTCACTCCGTCGCGTGGATTCGATCTTACGACTGTTGGTCTTCTGACCCTGCAGCACAGGCTTCTGCGGTTTAGCCCGCAGCACCACCACGTTCCACATTAAAAACATTTTTATTTTGTTTTACGATACTCGTTATGTTGCTGCTTCTTACGAGAAAATAAATTAAGTAGATTTGGCACTGGCTCAGACAGCGAAATATCTTGGGCTCGCCTTGCTCCCCGATAATTACTGTTATCTTATAGTAACCTCATGAATGTGAACCACCCACCACAGTTTGTACCTTGGAACAAATTCAGTCATCACCCATGGCAAGGTCAACTACAAAATTAAGTGTGATTAAAGTTAATTAGGGCTTGATGTAAGGTTGGAATTCATTTCAAACTTTTGAGATCCTGCCTTCAATAAACTCTGTTTCTCTTTTGGGAAGAACAGAAAGAGCTGATTAAGGGGATTTAAAATCCACAACCAATCAGAGTTTTTAGTTACATCAAGCCAAGCCACCTCATCTGAATCCCTTTCTGTATCAACCACTCTCTGTAGGGAGGTTCTAAACATATTGTATGCTTCTGAGCAGAATGAGAAGCTTTATGAATCTCACACCCTCTCTCCAAAACTGTTAACTACTGGGTTAGTACTTTGGGAACTACTGTACAAACTTTTGCAAGATTGATCTTGGAAACATATGAACTGAAGAAAATCCTCCCCTTGGATGTGGAGGAATTTTTTTTATTTTTTATTTTTAAATCATCATAGCCTGAATTGGAATTTCATCTTTCCCTTCTCCCTCTTTTTCTTGTTAATCTATTTACCGTATTTTTCGCTCCATAAGACGCACCTTTCCATAAGACGCACCAATTTTTTAGGAGAAGAAAACAGAAAAATATAATCTGTTTTCTTCGCTCCATAAGACGCACAGACTTTCCACCCCCCCTGTTTTGTGGGGGATCCTCCCCTTGGATGTGGAGGAATTTTTTTAAAAAAATCATCATAGTCTGAATTGGAATTTCATCTTTCCCTTCTCCCTCTTTTTCTTGTTAATCTATTTAATATCTGGCAGTTTTCTTCGCTCCATAAGACGCACAGACTTTCCACCCCCCCTGTTTTGTGGGGGAAAAGTGCGTCTTATGGTGCGAAAAATACGGTAATATCTGGCATTTTTTTTCAGCTCCTGAATGTTCATTAATGAGAATTTCAGGGCACTAGAGGGTGCTCATTTTGCATAATTCTTTAAAGGTATTACACTGGAAGTACAGAGACTATTTAACTTGAAAGGAGCACATAGTGCGGGGAGCTTGGGGAATCTCTTATTATGGAACTACCTCTCCAGCTCTAGGACGGAAATCATAGAATCATAGAGAAGTGAAGTTGGAAGGGGCCTACAAGGCCATCAAGTCCAACCCCCTGCTCAGTGCAGGAATACAATCAAAGCAGATCTGCCAGGTGATTATCCAAGTTTTTCATGAATGCCTCCAGTGTTGGAGCACTCACCAACTCCCGAGATGGCAACTACTGTACATCACAGTAGTTAAAGGGAGCTGCTGTCTTCTCACTTGAGCTTTTACAAAATCTTCTAATAAATACTAAGATAAAATTGATATAACATAATTTGAAAATTAGTACCTTTCTAGCGAACTTGAATATTGTACAACAGTCTTAAAGAGCACTTAATACTTCCATGTGGTCTCTAGTTTATTCTTAAATCCTGCCTGCCTCCAATTACGGGCTACTTTATTTCCTCACAAGGATGCCATACATCTCTTGGGAGTAGTGCTCTTTTTAATTATAAATGACTTATTTATAAACTGCCAAGTTGCCACACTCGTATCTGATGGTGCTATATCCAATTAAAGAAAAATTTCAATATCCCTGTGGAAATGATATAATTATCTACAACATTATTCCATATGCCACAGTAATTAATGTTATTTACATTTTCAGACTGCTCCATTCTGAGAGTTGTAAAACAGTATTTATTAAAACACACATACACAAAAACATGTAAATACAGAACATGTAAACATGTAAATACAGAATGCCTTTCTAGCAGTCAGAGCTTAATACTGACTGAACTAGTACTAAACCAGCTTATAAATGCATGGTATGCACACCAAATAGGACAAGTTTTAAATGTTAAGTTAATCAAGCTTAGTTGATGAATCAGTGGCAGTCTATTTTAATCAGTAAAAGCATGTTTTAATTGGTCGGATTATGAGGTAAGTAAGGGCACACTTGTCTATTTTTGAGGCTATTCAAATTCTAGTAGTTACCTTGATAAGAAATGTAAGAAAAATTAGTAAAGAGTGTTTTTCTTCCCAACAATATGTAACAATTTTTATTTATTACATTGTTTCCTAAACTGCCGCAATAGCTGAAGCACAATTTGGTGAGGATAAAAGGGAAAAAATTGAAGCCACATTTTGCTTAACCTCAGGAGACTTTTAGACTGTGTTAATAACAAGTACCACCCATTAGTAGAGCAGCCCACCATACATGTAACTTTCTGAATGTTCCTTCTTGTCAAACAAGCTCAACCTGACATCACTGAGGCATTGGAAGAACTGACAGACAAATATTTCCAGGGAAGTAAGGTTCTTTAGGCTCACAGGACCCTTACATATATGGAGTGTGACAAATCTGGGTAGAGTGGGCGGCATATAAATTAAATAAATAAATAAAATAAATAAATCAGCAGTTCTTTCACATATCTGTAATCTAATGTAGGAATTCCCTGTTGATTAATATTTATATTATTTTGTCCTGCTTCAATGGGTATGTTTGGCTATCACAGTAAACTAGACTCCCTACCTTTGGTCTGTTACAATATACGTTCAAACCAGGAACCCTGGCTTGTTAACTACTAACAAGCCAGAATCATAAGGCAAGCAGATCCCCTGGCATCTTGCTTGTCAGGAAAGGAACAAACCAGATTCTAAGCTCTGACATCATACTAAGGGCAATATGAGCAGAGAGTTCTGTCTCAAGAGAAAGTGATCAAGCAGCATACAATAGCACACTTCCTTGTTTGGGATAAGCCATAGCTTTTAAAAATTCTGGCTTTTAGTCATGTGCAAACTAGGCCAATATCTTCAGAGGACACCTATATCAAAATGATGTCAATATGCAAAGCATTAATTATAATCTATTAATCAACCAGTTATAATGAAGAGTATACATCAAGTAGAAGTGCTCTAATGGGCAACAACTGTAATAATGAACAGTGTGCTGTTCACCAATATAGTGCATCACTATTTGCTTATTTATAATGAACTCTTAACGCCTAGACTTCAAAACCATTTTCCCAGGTTGTCATACAAGCACAATTGTTATGCAATTATATAATTGTCCGAAACACTGTTCAGTGTATTGTAAAATCTGAAGATCAAAAGCATGCTCCCTTTTGCAGCTCTCTTAATCCTGGATATCACAGTGCAATCTTACAGGTAAACGCAGATGAGCTCCAGCATTAGAGATAGCAAAAATTATAAAGCTCTGCTGCTGCTATTTTTCTTTTATGGGTCTTCCTTTTATTTGAAAATTAGTTCTCTCTCATTGGTTTCAATGGGAAGTAATTCACATAAACCAGCTCTACAGTATTGCCTCTTTCAATGTGTCCTCAACGCATGCCCAGAACACATCTTCCTGCCTGTCAGTGGAGATACATCAGCTGTGGAGGTTTCCTCAATGGTTGCAGTAAGCTGGGTCACCCCTTCTAATAACAGTCCTCAGTTTCTACTTGGAAGAGATTTAAAATTACCTTTTGACATTGAGAAGCCCATTCATGGTTCCTGGGATTACAGCTTAAGTTGGAAGTAAATTCATACTATTTTATTTGAACTACGTGTATTTTAAAAGAAAGATAATACCTACAATTCTGCAAGCAATAAAATTCAAGTAGCCAACATACCTGACTGAATACATCAGGATATAAGGGTAACACACCTTTAGGATCTGGAATATGCCTTCCATACTGATAAAAACTATACAATAACTAGGGGTGGACTGCAGTTTGAACAGGAGAGGGAGCTCAAACTAAAATTCAGCAGGGAGGCCCCTCTCTGTCAGTCATTTTGATAAGTATAGAAAGAATAAGCAGGGCTGCATGAAAACATTACATTTTATAAAAATATGTGGTAAGAAACTTACAGTGTTTAATGCCACATGTTCTTTATCTTTTGTTATGCAAACACAATGTCCCTGATGAGGTTTAGCCCTCTAACAATGCAGATATAGAAGTAGCTATATTGACAATGCAGATTTATTTCAGTACCTTTAAAACATCAGGCAACATTTTCTGCAGTTTCTTCTCTCCTATGATATAAAAGCACTGTTGAAGCATCTCTTTCTTGTCTGTGATGTAGAAACTAACTGGCTTTAATTGTACACTAAGATCTAGTCCACCTTCTTCTATGTCACTGGGTTCTTCTCCCACATCATCCTTTTCCACAATTTGTGCAGTGAATTTTGGTTCCTAAAATATGACAAAGAAAATCATTTCACTTGCACACCAATGAAAAACATGCTTAATTATGCAGTAATTTCAGCAATTAAGCTTTGATTGTGGAACTGACAACACAATCCTAAATCTTTTTACACAGAAACAGAAGCCAAAGAGTTAAATTTGACTTACCCCTGAGTAGATGGGCACAGAATTGCAACTTGAGGCAACAATTCTTACATAACTTACTGCTACTCCGTAAGTTCAACAAATGCACTAAGAACTGCTGGATAGCTCCATGGTACAGGCAGAGCCAGAGGTTGGGAGTTCAATTCCCCACTGTGCCTCCTTCATAGGGGCTGGATTCGATGATTCATAGAGTCCCTTCCAGCTCTGCAGCTCTAAGATGATGGTGATTAGCATTTTAATCCTACAATTTTTGTGAATTGCAAGCCTTGTTTGCTTCTGCCATCTCCAAGAGAATGAAACAGAAATACCTGAAAAGTGGTGTGCACAATAAGGGGCCCCTAGGGTGTGGACCTAAGAGGGCATTTTGTTCTTCAACAAAATTACTTCATTCTAGAAATTCTTCCTCTCCACAGCCTATAATACCATCTCCTGTCACTAGGTGAAGACCTCCCTAAAGAGGAGAAAAGTTGTTGCAGGCCAACCCTGGCACACGCCTTTTTACAAAAGTTCTCCAGACAACTCTGAACTGAAAGCAAAGTGGGGCAAACAACATGCTGAACCCAATTGCTGCTTCCCAGTGCAGGGCCTCTTGGCTTTTTGAAAAGTTAAAAAAGACTGGGAGAGAAGTGTGAGCTGCAGGGTAAGTGGAGAAGCAATGAGTAAGCAAACCAAGAAAGCTGAATGAGTGTTAAGGTAAAAAGACCACTGACGTAGCAAAAAAGTACCAAGGGAGTGGACAAGAGAAAGACCTTTGGGAGGGAAAAAAAGATCACCTTAAGCGGTAAGGAGAGAGTACAAAGTGCACCACAGAAGTTGGATAGGTGAGTGCCAGCTTTGGAATCACTGAGGCAGAGATAAAGAAGTTTTTAGGCTGGGTGAAGCCAGTTGTTTGCTTCCCTGAAGCTCTTCCTCAACTGAAAGTTCACAAGGTCAACAAAGAAAGAACATGAAAGAAGGGCAACAAGACAAATAAGGATGGTTGTTGTGGGTTTTTCGGGCTCTTTGGCCATGTTCTGAAGGTTGTTCTTCCTAATGTTTTGCCAGTCTCTGTGGCCGGCACCTTCAGAGCAAGATGCCGGCCACAGAGACTGGCGAAACGTTAGGAAGAACAACCTTCAGAACACGGCCAAAGAGCCTGAAAAACCCACAACAACCATTAGATCCCGACCATGAAAGCCTTCACGAATACACAAATAATTATCTTTTAGAGCTGTGAAACAAGAGAGGATGTTACCAGATAAAAGCAATGACAATATCTTCAGAGAAAATACAAAGCAAAAAAAAAGGTGCTTAAAACACTCTCTGGGAGGTTTGCAAGTTAATTATACAGGCTAAACATTGCCCTCCCAGCAAGCTGGGTACTCATTTTACCAAGCTCAGAAGGATGTAAAGGTTAGTCAATCTTGAGTTGGTTACCTGGGACTGAACCTCCGGGTGTGAGCAGTTTTGGCTGCAATACAGCACTTTAACTGAAGCTCTAACAAAGAGACAATAATATTATTTATCAAGAATATAGCACAGTACAAAATGCAATGGATTTCACAGTCATTACCCCAGTAAGTCTTGAAAGGCAGACTAGTTGTATTATCACACACATTGATCAGAACATTCATTTGTAATTTCATGTGCCAAATCCTGTTCTCCTCCCCAGCTTCCAAACTCATCACAGACCCCTTTTCACGTGGGGAAGGCTTTGGGAGCCAGAAGCTGTGGGGTGGGGCAGGATAGGAAATTTTAAATTAAATGCAATGGAAGATTAACGTTGCTGGCTGATGACACCAGCCACACTTATGATGCACAACTCTGCCAACAGAATTTCGACCATTGTCAGCTCACTCTTTATAATACTATCCAAACATATCTAGAATAAGCCCCACTGATCACAACGAGATTTAATTCAAATCATCATGCACTGGACTGCTTGCTATTCAGCACCTCCAGGTATTCCTTAACACCAAACCATCCGAGTCTTCTATGCAATGTATACTGAATGGGTTGGATGCAGAGTGAACTGTGACATGAGCTCAAGAGGGATACAGTGTATGTTTCAATGATTTCCTCTCACCCTGTCTTCCAGAACAGAATTTCTGTTTCAGAATGTTGGGAAGCCCTTCAGAACATTGTGTTTCCCCAAAAATAAGACAGGGTCTTATATTAATTTTTCTTCCAAAAAACGAATTGGGGCTTATTTTCAGGAGATTTTTTTTCATGTACAACAATCGACATTTATTCAAATACAGTCATGTCATCTTCTTCTGGTTACTGCACAATGGTGGAGGCTGGGGTTTCACTTAACTGGGGTTTATTTTTGGGGTAGGGATTATATTACGAGCATTCTGAAAAATCCTACTAAGGATTATTTTCAGGTTAGGTCTTATTTTTGGGAAAACAGGGTAAAGACTGACAGAAATCACAATCTTCCCTCTTTCTCTTGGAGGTAGCCTCTATTTAAAGATTTTATTCATTTTTCATCAGTTCTAAGCTGCCTTTCTTCTGGTGAAAGGACCCCATGCAGCTCACAATGTTAAAGAAGATAAAACTAAAAACATAATAAACTACTGATTGAAAAGCAACTACACTAATTAAAAATCCACCAAGTAATTTGTGTGTGTTCTGTACTGTAAAGTCAGAATGACTTATAGCGACCTTAGTAGGGTTTCAGGGCAAGTGAGATATTTAAGGAGTGATTTTACCATTTCCACACCCTCAATGAGTTCCTATGGTCAAGTGGGGATTCAAACCCTGTTCTCCAGAGTACTAGCCCATCACTCTGTCTACTACACCACGCTGGGAATCAAGTAATTTAAAAACATTTACAGTGGTGCCTCGCTCAACGAGCGCACCGTTTAACGACGAATCCGCATAGCGTTTTTTGCGATCGCTAATGCAATCACATTGTGATGTTTTAATAGGCAAAACATCGCCTTGCAATGATCGTTAAGCGTTTCGCTTACCGATGATGTTTTGGGAACAGCTGATCGGTGGTTCCAAAATGGCCGCTGGGTCAACAAAATGGCCGCCCATAGCGTTTTCATGCCCTGCCCTCGCTTACCGGGCGGTGAAAATGGCGGCCGAATGGAGGATTCCCCGCATAGCGGTGAGTTTTTCCCCCAATAGGAACGCATTAAACGGAGTTTAATGCGTTCCTATGGGTTTCCCCCCCCGCATAGCAACGAATTCAGATAGCGACATTAATCATGGAACGGATTAACATCGCTATGTGGGGCACCACTGTAAAACTATAAAAGCAGAAGAGAAGGAACTTTTAAAAGGCTGTGAGAAAGAACAAGCCACCACCCTAAAAGAGGAGGGTAAGCCATCCTCTCAAGTGTCCACTATGGAGGGCTACAAGACTGTTTATACTGTGTTGCCCACGTTGGCCCATCTGGAAGTGCAGGAGAAACAGAACAGGAAAAAGGAGGAGGAGGACAGAGGGAAAACGACAGTTGGGACAAATTCACCAATAGCAGAAGGGTATTTGGTGACAGAGGTGGAGGAAAGGATAAAAAGAGAGGTGGATTGGGAAGCAGAGGCAGAACAGGAGGAGAGAGAGAAGAAAAAAAGAGAACGAATGGAGGATATACCTATGGAATGGGGATGGCTAGAAATGGACTCAGGAGAGAGTCAAGATGAAGCTGCCTCTTGAGGAAATAGAGAGGAGGCAGCAATACCGTCCTATTAGTCATCCTGAGACTAGTAGAGAGAAGGGAAGAGGTCTTGCTCAAAGAAAGGAGAAGACATAGCAGTACAGTTAGAGGGGGTTGAACCTATAGAACGGACTGTGTATGTATACCCGAAAGGGAGAGATCTCTGGAAGGAGGCCCAACTTAAGCAGACCAGCCAGCCTGTGACACCTACAGAAGGAGAGGGGGCTCACCACCCTTGTTGTGGGACCATCTGTCCCAGTCTATGGAACCCAACACAAAAACCAACCAACTGCAAGCGCTTTGGGTGAGCCCCCACTGGTGAATTCTTATGTTGAGTCTGGAGTTAAAGCACTGTTGGTCCAGGAGGAACATGATGAATGGGCCTGTTGGTCCTCAGGAAGTTCTTGTTCATGATTCTCCTTTGTTGGTTAATAAAAAGTTTATGTACTCAAAGGAATTGCCACCACTCTTTGGGGTGGCAAACGAAGGACTGAGGGAACCTAAGCTTGAACCCATTCACACTGGCATCCAGCAAGATAAAAGTCTGTCTGAAGAGGTGGGTCTTCAACTATCAAAGAAAGGATAAAAGGGGCAGGACTAACTTTACTTCCTGAGGAGGGGCATTCCACAAATTTGGAGCCAGTCACAAAGAAGACCCTGTCTCATGTCCCCATCCAATGTGCCTACAATAGGAATGGGACAGGGATAAGGGACTCCTCTGTGGCCACTCCCAGTTTGTGGAATGCTCTCTCTAAGGTTAGGCTAGCCCCCTCTCTTTTATCCTTCCATCGACAGTAGAAGATTGATCACTGAAAGTAGCCCTTGTATTTGTGGA